TCAGCTTGTGTTGTCCTTTTTGCCTATTAGTGTCCTTTCTTTGTTCCTCAACCCATATACCTGCTATTTATGGATTTAACATCAATTTATGGCACAAATTAAGTATTTGATGACACTAAATCTATTTACACAAAGCTCCAAATAAGTTCAAATCTTGGACTCATCAACATCCCCAACTTAGACTTTTGCTTGTCCTCAAGTAAAACTCAAGTTCAGCAGTTCAACAAGGATGTCTCAAACAGTGCTACAAAAGAATCAACATGAATGCACACAACAAGACTCAACTTACTCATGCAATGACCAATTGTACACTCAGAGATTCAAATTGTGACTCACCATTACCAAAGATGCTCAAGTTCACAATACTTGCTTCAAATGCTAGTTCAACCTCAACAAAAGTACACAAATGCCCTCACACAAAGATGATTCCCTATTCACACAAAGTTCTTCAACAATTTATAGTTCCAGAATCACATACGACTCTCACACTTACAAAGATGAATACATGCATGACTTCACCCATAGGTTTGCCCTTATTTTCCAATCAACATTCGCTTCAGCTCACTCAAGATCACAAAGGACTTTTCAAAGCTTGAAATGGGGCTGAGTGTAATGGTATGGTCATTTAGGCTCAGTGGCTGCTACCCTCATTAAATGTGGTTTGAACATCACTTTCTTCCTTTTCTTCAAATTTTTTATCATGCTCATAATTCACCTCATTATTTAACTTTAAATGGACTACCGGATACCCCATTTCTTTTGCAACTTTAACTACTTTATTTCACAACTTTTTCATTGTTTTTCCTTCTTTCTCTTTTTTTTTTTTACATAGAGCGGTTCCATCTTTTCAAGACCATTGCTCAAAGGGGAATTTTTCACACTTCTTGATTTACCTTCTCTTTTCACCACACCCCCAACTTAGGCTATTGGCCTAAGTTGGATATTCAAACAAACCAAACATCATGAGAGTTATGGGTGAATGGATAAAGACGGGTCACAATTGTTCAAGTTTCTTCCAAGAAAAGGATAAAGCTCAAAGGGGTTCAAGCAAGGTTCTCACCATCTCACAAGGTTGGCCACAAAAAGAGGTATCACGTCAATTTGTTTCACTCATGGAATTTGTTGCCTATTATCATTTCAAGAGTTTGCATCACTTAGTCAGTCGGACCAATGGGGCAAATTCTAGGTGTCATCACACAATGTTCAAGGTAAGATCATCACACAAGGAATTGACACCAATATCAAGCGAGACTTCACACTTTCTAGCTAGTGTGCAATGTGCATCACAAAAGCTTCATTCGATGACCTGCTAGTCACAACGAGATGCACAAAGTCCACACATTGTCTATGTAACTTCATTTGGCCTCGTCGTAGTAGCACATTCACTTCATTCAATTAAGAGCACTATTCAAGTCATCGGCATTGATCACGACTGATACTCGAATAAATTTCGAGCGAGCAAAGGGCTAAAATAACCAGAATCCTACCACCCTCACCAAAAGCATCCAACTGTCCCCAATGTGAATAGGGAACAAACAATAACAAAAGAAAAGATAAAATACTGGCACTTAAACAAGTAGAGTAGGATGACAAGGAATCTTCACTAGGCGCTCATTTGTTGGAGTTGCCGAACTGTTTGGCGATTTGCCAAATGGTGTGGAGCTCGCCGAAACTCCCAGATGAAACCTGTCCATGTTGGGGCAGAAAGGCGGACAAGAGCAAGTTCGATGAATACATCAGTGTATCGCCTTATGGAATTGGAACCTCGTCAAGTGATCCAAGACTCCAGGCTCTCAAGGCTAATGCAAAAAGGCGATTAAAATTGGGTCGCCCAATCACTTCGGTGACTCGCCGAGTGGTGCATGTATCGCGCCTAAAGTTCCAGTGTCTCATCCCATTTTTTATGCCAGGAAGGCAATCAACTTCGTGCTCGTTGAACTTACTCAATGATCCGCCGATGGGACCTTAGCCTTGAAAAATTGCCTACACCTGCACATTCATCACACATTATTCAAAACACTAACAGTTGGGTTGTCTTCCAAGAAGCGCCTTATTTAACGTCATGGCACGACGTGGAAATGCTCTCAAGCATCTTCCAAATACACCACTTCAATCACAGAAATTTCATGACATTCTCCAAAATATAAGTTCAAGTGTTGCCCATTTACTTCTTTAACTTAGACTTCAGTGGCTCCATTAGTGAACACCCGTGTTACTCTAAATGGGACTGACCATTTGGATTTGAGCTTTCTCGGAAAGAGTCTTAGTCGATAATTATACGGCAACACCCAATCTCCAACTCGGAATTCCCTCTTAAGGATTGTAGAATCATGCCACTTCTTTATCTTTTGCATGTAGAGTGCTAAAATTTCATAGGCCCTAAACCTGAATTCATCCAATTCATTGAGCTGATCTACTCTTCCTTTTGAAGTTTTTACCCAGTCCAGATTCAGAGCCTTTAATGCCCATAATGCTTTGTGTTCCAGTTCAACCAGTAAATAGAAAGATTTCCAAAAGACTAGTTGATATGGATACATATTCATTGTTGTCTTGTAGGCGGTGCGATATGCCCACAGATCATCATCTAAATTTCGAGACCAATCAGTCCTATTTGCATTTACGATCTTACCCAAGATACTCTTGATCTCCCGATTCGAAACTTCCACTTGGCCACTTGTTTGAGGATGATATGGCGTTGCTACTTTATGTCTCACCCCATATTTGCTCAATGTAGACACAAAAGGCCTATTGCAAAAATGGGATCCACCATTACTAATAATAGCCCAATGAGTGCTGAACCTCGCAAAGATGTAGCATTTTAGGAACTGAACAATATTTCTCCCTTCGTTGTTTTGTAGTGCCACAACTTCTACCTATTTAGAAACCTAATCTACTTCCACCAATAAGTACTTATTACCAAACGAACTCACAAATGGACCCATGAAATCTATTCCCCAAACATCAAATAACTCAACCTCCAGAATAGGCTTGAGGGGCAGCTCATGCCTTCTGGACACTCCACCTTGTGTTTTGACATTGAGTGCACTTATTAACAAAATCATGAGCATCTTTTTAAAGGGATGGCCAGTAGTAACCACTTTGAAGAATTTTAGCAGTTGTACGAACCCCACCATGATGACCACCAATCGGTGAAGCATGACAAGCATGGAGAATTTTGCTGAATTCCTCCTCCGGCACACATCTCCAAATGATATGGTTTGCACACTCTCTGAATAAGTATGGTTCATCCCAAAAGTATTTCTTGACATAAAAAACCACTTTGGTTGGTAGAAGTTCAGTTTCTCCGGTATCAATCCACACACTACATAATTAGCAAAATCAGCATACCAAAAAGTTTGTTGTAGAGTTACTGTGAATACCTGTTCATTGGGAAAAACATCATTTATGTCTACCTCTAGCTCGTCATTCTCCTTGCCTTCTAATCTTGATAGGTGGTCAGCCACCTGATTTTCACAACCTATTTTGTCTTGACTTCAAAGTCAAATTCTTGCAACAGCAGCACCCACTTTATTAATCTTCGCTTGGCATCTTTCTTTTCCATCAAATACCACAGAGCAGCGTGATTTGTATGAATAAACACTTTGGTGCCTAGCAACTATGCTCGAAATTTCTCAAATGCATATACCACTGCAAGTAATTCTTGTTTCGTAACTGTATAGTTACACTGAGCACCATTCAGAGTTTTAATTGCGTAGTAAGTGGGGTAGAATAGCTTATTGTGTTTTTCCCGAACACAACGCCTAGTGTCGTGCCTCTTGCATCACACATCACTTCGAAGGGTGATGACCAATCGGGACTAATGATAACCGGAGTGGAAATCAATTTCTCTTTCAAACATTTAAAGGCTATCATGCAAGCATCATCAAAATTGCATTTTACTTCCTTCTCCAAATGTTTGCACAAAGGGTGTGAAATTTTGGAAAATTCTTTGATGAACCTTAGGTAAAAACCTACATGCCCCAAGAAACTTCGAATGCCTTTCACCGAGATCGGTGGTGGTAACTTCTTTATGACTTCAATTCTTTCTTTATCAACTTCCAGCCCTTTTTGTGATATTTTGTGACCAAGAACTATGTCTTCCCTAACCATGAAGTAGAATTTCTCCCAATTTAGGAACAAATTTGTCTCCACACATCTCTGAAGGACCTTCCCCAAGTGTGCCAACCATGCTTTGAAAGTATCACCCACAACTGAGAAGTCATCCATAAAGACTTCCATTGAATCTTCTACCATATCAGCAAAAATAGATAGCATGCAATGTTGAAATGTTGTTGGAGCATTACACAACCCGAACGACATTTTTTTGAAAGTGAAAGTCCCATACGGACAAGTGAAAGTGGTTTTCTCTTTGTCTTGCGGGGCAATAGAGATTTGATTATATCCGGAGTACCCATCCAAGAAGTAATAACATCCTCTTTCTGAAAGTCGATCAAGCATCTGATCCATAGAGGGCATGGGGAAGTGATCTTTTTCGGTCCAGGAGTTTAATTTCCGGTAATCCATGCATAATCTCCATCCGGTTACCGGTCGCATAGAAACAAGCTTCCCCTTTTCATTTGGGACCACCGTGATGCCTCCCTTTTTTGGTACACATTGGACTGGACTCACCCACTTACTATCCGCAATAGGGTAAATCACCCCTGCATCCAACCACTTTATTATCTCCTTTTTCACCACCTCTTGCATTGGTGGGTTCAATCTCCTTTGATGCTCAACACTTGACTTACACTCGCTATCTGAATTTTGTGAGTGCAAATGCCGGGTGGAATGCCCACAATGTCACTGATAGTCCATCCAATGGATTTGATGTATCTTCTCAACACTTCAAGGAGAAACTTCACTTGCCATTCAAGAAACTAAACTGCAATAATTATGGGTAAGGTGTTATTTTCCCCCAAGAATGCATATCCAAGATGGGAGAGGAGCACTTTTAACTCAAGCTTTGGTTGTTCCTCCGTTGATGGCTTTGCGGGAGGATTTTATCGATTCTTTAGATCAACATCCAACTTTATTAGAGTCTTTGAATATTCCCCCAAACTTGAAAGGGCAGCTACTACCTCATCGTAACCTTGGACTTTAGACTCATCATAGTTTGCAAGTACCGTTTCAAGTGGCTCACTCATGAACATCAAATGGCTAACACTAGCCACAACTTCATCATTTATACCAATAGTTGAAACCACATGAAAATAGCTTGGGTGCTTCATAGACTTACACACATTAAAGGTTACTTCATATTCATACACCCAGAATTTCAACTCTCCACTTTCAATATCTACTAATGCTCTCCTGGTTGCAAATAAAGGTCTTCCCAAAATAATTGGAATTTCTGCATCAATCTCTCAATCAAGGATGACAAAATCAGCCGAAAAAATGAATCGGTCAACCTTTACCAAGATATCATAGAGTATTCCCACGGGGTTCTTGATAGATCGGTCTGCCATCAAAAGCCTCATTGTTATGGACTTTAGTTCACCCAACCCAAGTTGCTTATAGATCGCATATGGCATTAGATTTATACTTGCTCCTAAATCACATAGGGCCTTGGCCAATTGGAGCATACCGATTGTGCAAGGAATGTTGAAGGCTACAGGATCTCCCTTTTTTTTTATTGTCTCATTTGTCATAATTGCACTAAAACTATGAGAGACTTCAATTGTTTCAAAGTCCAAACTTCTTTTCTTTGTGACTAACTCCTTCATAAACATGGCATAACCCGGCATCTCCAACAATGCCTCCACTAGACGGAGATTAATCGATAATGTATTAAACACCGATAAGAACCTCTTGAAGTTTTCATCCTCATTTTTCTTCTTGAGACGTTGGGGAAATTGAGGAGTTATTTTGGGAAGAGGTTGCACCACTTTTGACATTGGAGTGCTTTTTGCTGCATCTGTTTGTAACTCTTTGGTAACGCTTTGTTGGATGGGTGTCTTTTCTTCCTTAATACTTTTGTCTTCTTCATGAGCTTGTGCTTCATCAATACCCTTCATATCACCTGCTACTACCTTCCCAGTACGCATAACCACAACCAGATCTCTATAACCATCCTACCCAAAGTTGTGATGTGTATGGTTTCGTCGTCCCCTATCATTTTTGGTTCTAATTGTGGTGAAAGTAGACTTAACTGACCTTAAAGTAGATTGATTGTATCAGCGTGAGAGTTCACTTTATTGTTTAATGATGAGAAATTGGCTTTTATCCCTTTTAGACAATCATCCAAATCCTCGACTTTGTCAAGGATATGAGACAACAAGTCGTCCACACGGAGACTACTTGCACTCCCTTTTGACTTTGGGCTCTCACTCGATTGAGTGTGGTCTTCTTAATGATCATCCTATCTTCTCCAAGGATCACTTTGCTCAGACCATTCTTGATAGTATCTTCTTTTCTCTTCTTCTTTGTGAGAGTTCCAACCTTGATTCCCACCCCGCTGTAAATAGCGTGAGTGAAAACACTCCTCATATTTATTAGAGTTCCAACCTTGATTCTCCCCTAGCTTTGAATAGCTCGAGGAAGAACCCACCTAAACTCTAAACACTCCCCTCGTTCCTTTGGGCTTTTTCACATCCTCTAACACTTGTGTTTGTAGTAGCTCCATTTGGGATAACATTTTCTTGATGTTCTCATCCCTTTATCTTTCCTTTTCAAGTTGCTCTTGAGTCATTCTAAAGCAAATGGGCGAAACTTGATCTTCTTGAGTGTACCAAGCTGATTTATTTTCGTCATGTCATCAAGAAGAAATGAAGTCACCTAAAACGATTGCAACATTATTCCACCTCGAACCAATTGATAAACCACTCTTTTATTTACCGAATCAAGACTTCAATAAAAGTATTAGAGCAGCACATTGTTTGGCAGTCCGTGAGTCGGGCATTGAAATAGGAGTTTCTTAAACCTCAGCCACATTTTATGGATGGGTTCATCCTCGAATCGCTTGAAACCTTGAATGTTATCTCTCAGTTTCATCACCCTCGACGGGGGAAAGAACCTCGCATTGAATGTCATGGTAAATGCATCCCACGATGTTATAGAATTCCTTGGTAACTCAGCCAACCATTTGCTAGTTTCCCCCGTCAAAGATAGTGGAAATAACCTGAGCCGGATTGATTCTTGAGACACATTCGTGAATGAAAGCGGGCAGCAAACATCTATAAAATTCCACACATGCTCATGTGGGTCTTCATGAGTCAACCCTCCGTAGAGTCCCTTCATTTGAAGGAGATGGAGAGTTGTGCTCGTAACATCAAATATAGCATCCTTTTCGGTTGATGGTAGGCAGAATGCACCAATTCAACCCAATTGAATTTTGTTGTGCACACTGTTAATATCATCAATATCATCTCGGTGACCCGCTTGGCTAAAGTTCATCTCTTTCTCACTCATTTTCTCTTATGCTCAGCACATCCAACACAAACACAATACAATCTAAATTGATTCAACTACAGCCAACAAATTAACAAATTATACTTCGAAAAAGGAATTCTAAACAACGCTACTCCCCTGCAGCGGCGCCATTTTGATTAATGTATTAGCCACACCTCATCTGATACTAGGTGTAAATGATCGTTAAGCAGTATAAACCCAACAAAAGAGTTGTGGTCGATCCTACAGAAAGTAATACTATTTTGAATTCAACTATGAAATTATAACGGTGACTTTTGCAGCCGAAGGAATAAAAGTTATTCGAAACTATGGACCAAATTGGAGGAGTAATCGCAATTCCCAAGTGAGCGGTTTTTAGACTAGAAAACAATTTAAACAATTAACTAGGAACAACCAAATAGGAGAAAGATGCTTGGGGGATTGACTAACCAACTGCTAAGTTCAACTCAACGGGTGCAAATCACTAACCAAAAATGTTAATTCTTCATGGGTAGGATGGACTTTAGGTGAGGCACTTTTTTCTCGAACAATTACCTCGTTTCCACTGAGTTCTCTGAACCTCAATGCACTACATGAAAAGACCAGTCCACAACCTCACCACATCCACTCTCTCGAGCTGTATACATAGGATGAATCTTGGGCTTCACTTTCTCTAGCTGAAACCATCAGGACCCACTAACTATGAGGCCAACTTATCACCTTAGCTTTACACTTCTTTCTCAAGAAAGCATAAAACCCTGAATTATATTGAAATAAACATACAATATAGAGGTTAAACCACAACAATAATTCAGACCCACTTCGAATTAACACCAAAATTGATAATAACTAGCACCCATTAAGTCAAACAAGGTGATTGGTTACATTGTCAAACCCCTAAGATCGGGATTTTAGCCAATCATCATAAAAGAAAGAAATTCAATACCTACTACATGCTCCATGGCTGGGTATTATAAAATCGAAGTTCTAAGATGAATAATATCTTTTCTATTACAATACCCAATTGAAATCTCTTTCCAAAATTGCTTAAAAATCAACAAGATTAGTGTTTTTGTTCTCTCTATTTCGTTCCTCACAATCACTGAATGCTTTATCTCTCTTTCAAAAATCAATTTATATTGATAAGAGGTGTGGCATTTTGGGGTCAATCAGCGAGGAAAATCGAGCTTCGCCGATCAGTCGGCCACTCGCCAATCATCATTGTCTATCGCCTTGTTTATTCACATTGTCCTCATTTAAACACTGTAATTTTAGGTGATCTAGATCAGGATCGCTGATCATTTCCGTGATGCGCCCTTTAGTCTTTTAGCTTGCCAATTCGAGTTCACCTTGGTCTCGACTAGTAGTTCGGCAACATGATCTTCCTTCGCCGATAGGGAATGCAGTTCGCCTAAGTTTTACCTATTTCAGGGTCAGTTTTCTGTAAATTTTGGTGGTCCAGGGGTAACTTGGCAATTCGTCGAGTTCTCTTGGCGATCGTCAGGCTTGTTTTTCTCTCTCATTTTTAGCTTGTGTTGTCCTTTTTGCCTATTAGTGTCCTTGCTTTGTTCCTCAACCAATATACCTGAAAATTGCGGATTTAACATCAATTTATGGTACAAATTAAGCATTTGAGAACACTGAATATATATACACAAAGCTCCAAATGAGTCCATATCTCGGACTCATCATCCTTCTTCCCCCCCCCCCAATCGTTCCAAACCATTAAGATACCCCATATTCATCCATTAAAATCCCCCATTACTCCTATTTATTCTCCTCTTCCAATTCCATTTCCCCCAATCTCTCCCAAATCTTCCTAATACTCTTTTCCTCTCAAAATTCCTCTCTTCCACAAGAACATTCAAGTCCAGGTTTGGTGTCAAGGTCGGTCTAAGGAACACAAAATTTACTACACTACACACTCACCAACTTTGCTTACTTGAAAGGTAAATGATTTCACCAGAACTTTGAATTTTTTTTCATTGTTTAAATTCGAAGTCACAAAGTTGAACTTCACCTTGGGTAGTTAATCATGTGTAAAATTATTGAAATCTAGTTCATATACTACCCTTGAAACAATGGTGTGTGAGTGTGGTCTCATTTAGATTAAATAATTTGGTTTGATATGTCTAGTTAAAAGTTTTGACGTATAGGGTTTCGTTGTCTCTGTCTTGGAAGTCTAATTTTGCATAATCGAAACCCTAAGGATGAAAAACTACCACATAATATGTTGAAATACATGTTTAAACTTAGATTAGTTGTTGAATGTTGTGTTTAATGTGTTGAATGAAAAATTGGAATCACAAGTCTGGCACAACACTGGTCGACGGCCTCAACCCACGGATCGTAGGTCGTGGTCCGTCAATAGAATGCACTCAAACATTCATTTAGTTGAAAGCCATGTCATGGACTACGGTTCGTCATTCCATCGATGGACCGTTATGCACGTCTGTGCCTCCAATATCAGAGACCAAAAAATGGATTGTTTGACATATGGAAGGGACCCACGACTCATCTCTCCATCGACTGACCGTAGGTACCCACTGTGTCTCACAAAAAATAGTTATTGTCTGTAAAAAAAAATTGTTTTTTGTCTACGTCCAAATGGTCCAAAATTATTTCTTGGTTTTTTTTTACTTTTTAAGTACTAACTAAGCTTCCACATGTTTGATGGCGCCTAAACAAGCACTCGGTACTTAGAAGAGTGGCAAGTCAAAGTCGATTGCACCTTCGCTCCGACTCATTAACAAATCCAGTGCAGAGGAGTATGCACCAGAGCACACTAGAGGCTCCCTCATTGTGCCCTTGACCACAAGGCACCGTAATAGTCAGGTTGTCGTATCGGAGGAGGAACCACCTAGTCCTGCACTTGCCCCCCAGTCTGAAAAGGGGGTACAACATTCAGGAGAGTCGCATTCCGGCTTAGAGTCGCACACCGGCTCAAGTTCAACGGCACACCAGCCTCCGCATCCATTCCCACTAGCTTCGACAAGCCTCATGACCCGCCAAGCATACCGATGTTCCCCGTTCTTCATACCACCAAGCCAAACAGGTGGTGTGTTGAGGGCCAGTTCCAAATCTACTATGATGGCCAGAACCGGAACAAGTAGCACAAGTAGACCAGGACCATTATGGAGGAGCGTCGGGTACTTATTGGGATCCTTCATACTATGCCCAACATTGAGGAGTTGTTCAAGAGGCACATGTGTGATTGGATTCCACGGAGACCGTGCAAGTATAGAGAGGAGATGACCCGTGAGTTCTATGCCTCCTACGCCAACACCGTCTGAAATACTATGCCCAAATGGGTGAAGCAACTGGCTCAACCTCCACTTCAGGCCACACTGGTGTAGAAATTCTCCATCGAAATCTCCAAGACTACTATTCATCATTTTATTTACGGCCCATCCCACACTCGGCCGATTAATATACTAGAGTATGACTACAAGATGGGGGTGGTTCAGAGTGGGGCATTTCAGAGAGATGCCGATCAGCGAAAGGCCTTACTGAGATGGATGTCCCGTCATATAACCGAAGAGGGAGAGAGCATCGAGTGAGTGCGAAATACCACATTGTCTATCAGAAAGGCAACCTAGAGCTTTACTGTGAAGTACGTTTGGTCCATAGTTCGTACTAGATTGTCCCCTACACAGGC